ATCTTCGTTCCATCGTTTGGGGGAAATTCAACGGGCAACCCCTCTATTATTCTAAATGACGTCTGGCCTCTTCCTCCGTATCGTCAACACTTCAGCCGGTGTTTTAGGCATCTTAGGGAATGCCTTAGTCAATGTTGTAATTGTGTCTGAACGATGTATGCACACATGCACCAATGCTCTAATTCTCCACCAAGCTACCATCGACTTCTTAGCGTCGGTTTTCATCTTGCTCCATGAGTACATCCCTCCCTTCCAACCAGCTCTGCCTGGCCTATGGGGTCGATTCCTCTGCACCATTTGGAACTCGAAATATCTCCTCTTCAACTTCTTTGTCTCGTCAACCTACAGCCTCCTTGCTGTAACATTTGAGCGATTCTTTGCAATCGTGTATCCTTACCAATACCGGCGCATCTTTGGCAGTAAGAAGGCTGTTGCATTTCTTATAATTTGTGTATGGGCCATTGTTCTGACTTTTAGAGTTTATGTCTTTTTTCAATGGTATGTGGATGACAGTGGGTATTGTAAGACAAGCCCCAGTGGTAGCGGTCTCGGTGTGGTCATCTTTCTTCTACAGTATGCCATTCCACTGATATTGATGACATACATGTACGCACGAATCGCCGTGGAGTTATCCAGAAGTGTTCGTCGCGTCGTGCCGACAGTATCTGCCCCAGACTCGCAGCACGGTAGCAATGAACATGGCGAATCGCTTCTTCGAGCTCGCCGAAATACCTTCAAAGCATTACTCATTGTATTTGTTACGTTCGTCGTTTGCTGGTCTATGAACCAAGTTCTGTTTTTCTTGCACAACATGGACTGGCGTACCTTAGATTTCACCAGCCTAATCTACGTCATCTCCGTGGCACTTGTTTCACTGAACGTATTCGTGAATCCGTTCATTTATTCGTTCAAGTACAGGAGGTTTCAACAGGCCTCCCGTCGAGTACTGTACCGTGTGACAGGTCAATCAGACCACCTGAATGACACGGATGACATCTCTAATACCGGATGAAAACGAAGCACAATCAAATCCGAAAAAAGTCAACGATGTTAACATACAACGATATTTGTTTCATAACAATGCAGTTTTTACTAAGGTAAAAATAAAGAAGGTACTTATTTCTCGCCATTTTCTATTTACACAATCTGGGCCAAAGACAAAAGTTGTGACAATGTTATTGTGTACCGTAAACGCATGTGACATACAACCTGTTGTGCAATATTGTCATTTTAATGGGTGTCTGCAAATCAATGTTAAGGTGTTACATTACGATTAAATTGCAACAGGTGAATTTGTAGCTAAGAAAAGTAGTTTCGTGTTGTATAATCTCGCTGAATTGGCAGAAGTAATGAATGTATTGTTAGACCAACAGCGAAGGCCAGTTAACCTGACTATAGGCAGTGAATTTTATTTGTCGTGTCCATAATACACTGGCAGTTTTCAGAGTAGTCAGTCTTTGGCAATGTAATTGTTGTAGCAGTGGTGAATGCGTTTTCACAAAGGTTGAAATGATTGGTTTTCATTCGCTGTACCTGACAGTAATTTTGTTGGCAGAGCACTTACGGCATTGTCTATATAAACTGAAGAATGGCACAGTGTGTTTGCTTTTTCAGGCAACATTGGGTCTTCACGTTTCTATAGGAGTGCGGTTATTAATGTGATGCAGTGGCCTGTATACGGGGGGTCACGTAGGTATATACAACCCTCCTCGAAATAAAGAGAAGACTGAGATTAAAAGTTATGACCTCCAGAAAAAAAGCCACTTTCCAACAGTACCCTCCAACACATTGTAATTATGGCACTTTTCTGATGTTAACGCCCACCACTCAAACGGTGATCATAGGCCCACTTAGAAAACGGGGGCGTCCGGAATGGACAGTCGATCCCTTGAGGGATTTGTACCAGAGACGATATGTCTCTCCTGCAGTATCGGGAGTCACCAAAATAAACAAGGCTTTAGATTAATGAGACAGAGGATTGTAAGAAAACAAAAACCACGAATCCTGTCCGGTTCAGCCCCAGGAAGATCCCCTACCCGCATCTGAATTTCTAATTTGAGAAATTGATACGAGGGATCATGTTTAAGTCGTATAAATTAATTAATATTTGAGAAATAATGGTTAATACTGTACATACCAATAAAGAAACGTCAGGTTTGCTGTTACTGAGTAGTATAATCGATCGTTTCACGCACATGTAGTGAAGAGATAATAATGAGAAGTTAAATTGTACAAATTTGGACAAAAGTGGTTGACGGAAGGTCATCCTCATCAACGCCCTCTGTGATCGTGTCCTAATGAAGTAAATCAATCATCGCCTATAAGATACGTAAATGTGAAAGAACAAGGGGTGGTTATTTGATGATTACCTCGTATGAAGCTTCAGCGTCAACTTTTGTTGCTTAATTGAAAAATAAATTAAATGATACCTGAGTTTTTTGGGGGGGGATCTCGTGTCAGGAACGTATCTGGTTATTGTTCGCGCAATTTGTCTAAAGAAAATTAATAAGTTATTAAAAAATCTCCTGTAGTTTTACTCTTTTCGTGGCACGCTGATCAGAAGTCTTCTATCTTACACGAAGCACTGACTAGGCATCAAAATACCGAGGTTGCTCCTCGTAAATGGTATTCAGTCTTTCCGGTTTTTGTAATACACAACGTCCTAATTTTACTTGATTGTTGATTAACTTATTTCTTCATCAGAACAAAGAATAATTAATGTGTTTATCGACATTTTCGTTGACAATAGTTTAGTGCGCTATTTTTTACGACGACCAAGCAAGGATTTAAAATATATATATATTTAAAACAAATTTTGTGCGTCTGGTTGTCAATATTTGACACACGCTTTTAATTAACAAATTATTTGATTGCCCGCACATTTTCAAACATCCCAAGTTCAAATTTATAAACGATTTATATCAAATTCGTCTCAAGATGACTAGAACGCGCATGGTACAGTGCATTTTTTCATTGGTCATTTGTTTCAATATTTGTCTATTTGAAGTCGTCAGATTTCAATGGGATGATTCGTCTCAGCTGATGATCTCGTGCGAAATGTAAGGATTGGATTAGTCTTGCTCGATCGATTTCCAAGCATTATTTCTGTTACGGTCATCGGTTGGGGTACAATCATGTATGGACGTATTTGGCCATGTGTATCACAAGAAATTGATGGTTGAACAGCCAATCAAAAGGACAAGAAATGGATTGATTGTTTGTGAAAGGTTTGAATATCTGAATACATTTTGCCTTTCATAAGTAAAGGGCTACTCATTCCATAATTAGGCCTATGGAAAGTATACCGTTCTATTCGCCTGTGTATACTACGACACGAGACAATGTAGATATCACGAGGAGCCCTCGGTACACAACGAGTGTGAAGTCAGAGCCTGGTGTGCCCTATCCCATCAGGTGGACTCCCTGCCCGCACTATACGTAATGTAATGAAGACAGTGTTCAGCCTTTTGTAATTCCAGTCGAGATGAATCAATTAAAATGAAGCAATTGTTATTTTTTTCTACTATATACCTGAATGCAATTGACACAACTTGTCGTGAACGATTCACATTCATAACGCTGTCTGAAGTTCAAGAGTTTTCAACAAGCTTTCATTTTTTTCATGTTTGTACCCCAAAAGCAATGTCATACTAATCCGATTTCGTATATACTTAAAGGAGACACAGGGCAACATCCGTTTTCTTCATTCATCTACGACTTAAGAGGCTTTTAAGAATTCGATTTCGAATTCACTGCACAATGGCATATCCGTGTCAGAGTCTTATGTCGTCCTTGGCGATACCTAAATCCATAAATTTTCAGTGGAAAAGTGGAGAAACATCAAACACATGCTGCATATACGTGTACAAGTACATGTATGCAACGTCATTCAAATTTCAACAGCGCCCTCTATAATGAAACTGTCAGTTATTTTATTCTCACCTGACGAATATTTACAATAAAATGAAAGGATACTCTAAAACTAAACCATATACTCTACTCACAAAAATGAAAGGATCGGATATTTGTCTTTGGAAATTCCAGGCAGGTGTCTACCTCATTGATTTTACTTATTGTTCGCCCGGTGCACGTTCATGCTTGACTTAGCGCCATCTAGAATGTGAATGATAATGCAATTGCTCAGTCAAGTGTTCCAGATCGAGTCCAATTGGCTGGAGGGGTCAAAAGTGACTAACAACCCTTTAAAGTTTTTGAGTGGTTTATATACACTGTCCGGGCATTATCATGTTGAGGGGTTCAATGGGGGAGGGAATTTATTTGGGGAAAATAATCAGCCATATCTTCCAGAGAGGAATTTACTTCCTTGAGTCGTTGTCAAGGACATGAAAGCTATTTAGATCCATGTCTCCTCATGCAATGTATCCAAAGAGTAGTATTTGAAGCACTTGGTGGATTTTTGAAATAATGCCATGCGATTGGAAAGCTGCATGTATAGGACACAAAGCGAACAGTAAAATAAATTCCAAGACCAGTTGAGCGAGAAATGTGGACCACTTGACACTCACCGACAAGCAGACACTTTGGCTCACCGGACGAACAGATCAATCAATTAACAATCCATCACACAAACAATTCATAGCCATTTGAACAAACAGGCATACATCTGGCCTAGCTAGGTACCGTAGGGATCGACAAACATGAGTGTACTTGTAGTTGTACCTGGAAACAGACCTGTACTGGATGGAGGAACGATAAATCCACTTCACAATCAGAAATTGCTTGCCTTAAACTGACAACCCGCATCTTTTCACTACACGATCAAATTTCTATGATTCAGTGGGCAATGACTAGACACGCCGTTTCTGTAAAACGTTTTTAGAATTTACTACATGTATTACGGTTATTTGATTCATGCCGCAGGAATGCACCTTTGATATTGAGTGGGCCTATCGCCTGTGTGGGGCGGCCTATCTCCAATACAGTAGCCTCTGTCTGCCAAGAAAATACCTGACGTCATAATGCCATTATACACACCAACCCAAGCGTTTACATATTCACACAATGACGATTCGCAGCGATCCCACACTGCACGTTTGAATGGTTTGTCATTATACGAAATTTCTAAGCTTAACCGCTACACCGATTCGCTTTGGGGAGCAACGGTCGTCGAACTACAGGTTCCACGTTCACTCGCTTCTTTCCCTACCCGTATGTCGTTGCTGACGGCCATTTGTACGAGCTTTCAATCAACATTTTTTTCAGGACAATCTACACCATCAGCGCAGTGACGATTGAGATACGGAGAATACGTGAGGCCATAGTTGAGCGGACGCTGCACTACCACGATAAACACACGCAGGAGAACTGGGTGACTCGTCATCTCTCAACCTAAATCAACCTGTTTTTCATTGCTATATACATTAGATGGACATAGCTAAGCCACTCAGAACCTGGAATTGGACCATGGAACCGTCACTCATAGTCTGTTGAAAGATGTTAAGTGAGAATTGTGCTGGAACTTGACCTAGAGAGATTCAGCCTTGTGGAGGAGGATTAAGTGGACATTTTCGTCTGATTATAGCACAGGGAGTTTAGGTAAAAAAAAACTCGCATCAATTGACGATGTCGATAGCCGGAAGTATCGCAGGCGAGTCCGTGTACTATGAAGAGCCATACTCTGGTATGTATAGTAGTTGAATCTTATTCCTCCATGATATAACATATCATAGCAGAAACAGCCTACATGATGACACATATTAAATTCATATGATTTTGTAAAAGTTTCCAAAACCTTCTCAAGGCTGCATAATGTTCAGTTGCAATGCTCCATGCATGTATCATCATGTGTACGCATGCGTCCGTGACAATTAGATTTTAGACTATCAACGTTATTTGGTTTATTTAGGCCTACTTGTAGTGAGTTGCAGTTGAATGAGTAAACAATAGATATGACAACAGTGATGGGAAGATGAGGATGATGACGGACAGGGATGAGTGTCAAAAGGAATTCTAAATTTACATTCATATTTGTGTAAAAAAGGACTTACAACTATCCTGACTTGTCTCCTTTGGTTGCCTGCGCATGTGAAATTGATTTCAGATGTCCTACACTGAACAACACTGGTCCCCTTTCTCAAGGATTTCATCACTCATCACCAACCATATTGGCGGTTTGTTTCAAATTCTGGGTGCGCTCATGGGTCACATATAATGTTTATCCACATCAATCTGTTGTGTAAACACTCCCTCAATATGCGCCATATATGACCGTGAAATAACCGCATCGATTGCACAAAATGGGTACCAGTCAGTGACATTTTTTCGCTATCGAAGTATGCCAGAACATCCATGGGGTACCAGCTAACCGTCAACGCAGCGTGATTTTGAATAGCGTGTACGGTTTCTCCGAACCACAACCTGCAGGCTTGACCTCAACTACGTCCCTAACCAATTTTGCTCAAGGCGCATCATGCTTTCCACGGTTTAGCATGTAGTAATGTACATAATTATACAGTGATACTATAATTATTTTGTTTGCCACGGCACAATCAACAACGACACGCTGAATTCTGGAGCAACAGCATTTAGTTCTTAAGTTCTTTTTCACTCCTGAATTCTCTTAAATTAAACCCCTGACGGTGAAAGTGGAGGTCATCAGGGGACTTTTTCCGGATTTGTTAGAACCATGGATGATTCCTCTGTGTTAGGACTGTCAACAAAATGCTTAGACCATGCCTATATTCAGCATACTTGTTAAGTTCTGGTATGTAATTCTGCGCATGCCATGTTGCCAACATCTTAGTGGTGTTACAAAAAAAATGTATACGTGCTGGCGCACACGTTGACCCCAGCCCAAAAATGTGTGAGTGCAATGTCAAATATTCATAATTTTCAAGACTTACGCTTTAAATGTTCCCTACGTTTCAAAACTTGACTTTTGTTCTGATGTATAGAGCATCATAACACCTGTTTACATTCATGAAGTAATTCATGGACTTCAGCACAGTTTACGGTGATGTACATGTCACTGAAAACGAAAAAGATGCACCTTAGTTCAAAATGAAATTAACTGTGCCCATCATTTAAACTTCAGGATTTTGTGAATTTTAGAGAATTGCCTGTTATTCCATTCAAAGTGTTCTGCATCGAGTGTCTGGTAAAGGAACATACAGCCGCTGTAAAATCCAGCACGTACACAGTAAGCCGGTTGTGCCCCTTAAAATGTGACATCGCGCAGGTCATATGACCCGATTACCCCTCAGAGGGGCACTGAAATTTGATTTATTCTGTGGTGTGATTCCGTGGTGACTTCACCAGCTGACTTGGAGAATCCAGCTGATATATCATGACCGACTTATGGCACTCTGACCCACATCACAAGCAGTACTATACAACCAAAGTTTATAACCTCGATGTACTCAGGGGGACAGGCCTGCTTTACATGTACATGTACATGTACTTCTGACACAGTGACTGGTGATTTCATATTTGTGAATTGGAATTTGAGCGTTTTGTTGAGCGCTGTACGCCGAAGAAAAATGTAAATGCATTTTCAACACTGCTTTGCTTTCCTTTTTATAAGATGAACAATATACAAGTGGTAAACTCCTCAAAAAGCACAAAATGTAACTGATTGTGATCTGTCATTTTGCCGCAAGGGTTGATAAGAAAGTAAATCGACAAATATTTTAGTTATTGACTCTTAGAAATGCAGCTACATGTAATTGACGTGAACTCGTTTTTATCAAGCTTCTTGATTTAATGTCCAGTGGAAACTGCCATTAGTCATTTCACTCTGTTATTCTTGTCAATATTTTTGTATTTTTGTTTGTCGGATAATTAGTTAATTTTCTTTGTATTTTCCCCCTCATTTCCACGCGTTATCCTTGTAGTTCCTGGGCCATGCCGTACCTGTTGTATGCGCTGCCCGTGTCCCAGCATCCTTGCTTCCCTAGCCTTCTTAGGGGGCGCTGCGCTGTTCTGTCTGGCGGGAGTTCTGGCTGGCCAACAAGCAGCGGAACTCTTCCAAGGGACTTATATCGGCGACGATGTGGACACATGGTGAGATTTGAAAACTAGCATTGCGGAGTAATTTATTAATGAAGGGAGACAGAAGTGTTGTCATGAACAAGTGTACTGTAGTTTTGAGGTGAAAGTGTTCACTTTTTTCACCTTCGTTTGGTTTACCAAGTATGCTGCATAGTTATGATCCGAAAATCTCGCCAAAAAGTTTGGCAGAGTAATTTATTAGAAAGAAGGACAGGTCATAATGTGAAAGTTGAGTTTAATTAAGTAGCACACACTGTACGTTTTTATGTGAGGGAATTTTTTTCAACCTTTGAGTTTTTTTGTCCATTTCCTTGAAACGACTGAAATTTAGGAATGAAAATGTATTTAATTTTCTTTGCAAAATCAAAATTTTCAATAACTTCACGTTTTAACCGACGCTGTCATTGTGGTTTTTTTTCTGTAGGATTTCGTACATTTCGATAGCTTTGTACGTGGAGGTTGCTGTCATGACGATCTTTGCTGTGGCTCTCTTGGGTATATCTTGTCTGGGTACCGGGGCAGTGAGAAAAGAGTTCATGTGGCGATTCAGGTCACGAGCCAGAGGCAGATGTCAGACTGCACTGGTGAGAAACAAACGTCATGTTCACCCAGCTGGACGGAATTTATTGCATACATAGATGTATATATAGCACATAAACGGTAGTCCCATCAGTGCAGGTTTGACTTTGCTCATATGTCTATTAATTTGACTTTTAGAACCGGCTGTGTTTAATACGTCTTTCCCTGTCTTTCTATTTTCAGTTCATGATAGTTGTTTACTTCTTGTTTCTGCTGTGGCTAAGTCTTAGTTTTGTCTCGCTGGTTCCCATCATCTTCTTCTATATCCAAAGACGTGGAATGTGCTTGGCTCCTCCTCTGGATGAGTCTGACCCTTCCGCCGAAGAGCCGTGCATTGACCTCAAGCAGTGGAGTAAGTTTTCACTGGCATTGACACTTGATCATTTACCTTAATAGGTATTTAGGAACTACTCATGAATATGTTTTGTGAAGGTATATGTTTATCATGTAGAGACTTACTCGTTTCACATTTCTGTGACAGGTCTTGTTCCAGCTGATTACAAGTGCACAATCACTGACTGCAGAGACACAATTTGTGGTGCCAAGCTTACGGCTTTGTGTGATAGTGTAAGTATAGATTCTCCACCATCCGCTCCATTCATTTTGTATTGTGCACAGATCCTCCCAAATTGGTAATGTTAGTTTTAACACTCCAAGTGACGTGATGTTTGATTCCATTTTGCGATGTTTTCAGAACGTTCTGCTGTGGTTTTCATTGGCGTTCTTTGCGGCGGTCCTTGTCACGCTGTCTATGGTAAGATATTGCATCAATTAGATATATTTTCATTTGAAAAGGGAAAATCACCTTTTTAAAATAGCTCTCTTGTTAATGTTGTGGTGGTTATCGTTATTCATGATCTTTTTAACTTTGTTAATCAGTTTTCCCATAACACTTTTAAAGCCCTATTTGACACCAACTCATCATTTAAGTCACTCTGGTGTAAGAGGCCTACATGCATATCCAACTCCTATTTATTTATACATGTATTGATTACTAGCTTAATGATCTTATTACTTTTATTATTTCATTCATTTTTTAAAAATTTATTGTTATATTTTATGACTATTCAACAGCTCCACTTTCTGATAAATTTTTCGGCCAATTTTGCGAAACTCCGAGATCGATTCAAGGATGGCTTTGCCAATCGCAAATCAGGAGCCTACTTAGTTCGGGCCGGGTCTGTCAGGAGCAGTCGTCATTCCATGAGAGCAAAGAGCTCCTTACGAGCAAGCCGAAACAATGTCTTGCGTGGATCCCGAGGATCTCTAAGGACAGTTAGTAACCATGACAGCAACAATTACGAGCTCAATGACGCCACAAATAATGCAGAAACACTGCGCATGACAGAGGCCTATCGGAACCAGACATTAAACGGTAGTAGGGATGAACTGTATGCCACGACTAATATGAATCACGATAGTCTGGGTTACGATCGTGAGCCTGTCTCCGCCTTACAGAATCACTATGTAGATCAACCTCAGCAGCCTCCACCAGCTTACGGTAGTCGGCATGGCATTGACCAACCAGTGCCGAGTATCGCTGGTGCAGAGACTGGTCCTCCACCTGCCTATGGACGCCCAAATGCTAACGGTCGCGCACCAAGTCATGCTAGTAGTAGCATCAGTGGCAACGCTAGTGGGAACTTCCCAGCACATTCTAAAATGAACACTCTGGATTATAACCGAGATATTGACTATAAAAGGGATGACTTTTACCCAAGGAACAGTAATTTCAACTTGAAGCCCACTAATTACCATGACAGCGACGTGTTGGATGGCATGGATGCTGGTAGCGTTCACGGGAGTGTACAGCACAGCAGTGCGGGGGATAACAGCGACGGTGTCTTTGGCAGTAGCCGATGGGGCTATAATCAATACCATGCTGATGAGAGAAGCCGACGCCCACTTAGCAGTTACGCTGATCCCGAACCAGCCCCATCTCTTGGCTCGCCTTTGTCTGACAGAGCGCCTCTTGGAGGCTTCAGTGAACATTACATATGATTGTTGGAATGACTGACTCGTCTAACCTCGTAAAATAGTGCGTTGAAACGTTTTTATACGAGAAAGTAATCCAATGGTGTGTGTCCAAAAATGCTGATCAAATCTTATCCCTACAAATGTAAGACTGTAAATCTTATGTCATTTTATGTTGGTAGTGACTAACCCCGGTTAAAGGATTAACTCATTGCAAAGGTTTGCGTAAATGTGTGTAATACCAGAAAAAGTTGTTGATTGGTTTGATATGCATACAAAGATATTGTTGATAAAGCTTATCCCCTAACGTGGTGTGGTCCCTAACGTGACCGTCTGACCGACTTTGAGTTTTCGCCTCTGTTGTCCTGCTAGAGCAATTTTGCTTACCTTAATTTCGCAATACATGAAATTTCATCAAACCCTGCTAGTTTGGCCTGATTCTCCGTCCTTTTTAAGTGCATAATGAACTCCTTTAAAATGCGACCAAAAATAAGAAAACTGCTTTCTTAAAACCTTGTTCTTTGGTAAAGACTTATCAAAGGAAACGCCATAACTGGGGTGGGATTGCATCGCACGCGTTTGCGTGCATTTCGTATAGGTCACAATTATATTTGTCAGAGACATATAACGCGCGCGTACCACCTGTCCACAAGCGTTGTGCCACCGAAGTAATGCCCTATTATTTTGATTGTCTAATTACACTTTGACTGGAGGTAACAACGATTTATCAGGATGTATTGACTTTAAGAGGGGGGATTCTTAAACGTAGATGTTGGATTTTCTGAGACTTGTTCCAAAGTGTTAGAGAACACTCAGTTGATTTTTTGTCTACATATGGTTTTCGGATGTCACCTCCTTTGAATTTCGTTTTTATTTTAAGACACTAAAATTGTTCGTGAAGGTTTTAGCACCATGTACAGTCCAAACCGCGTGAATAGAAGCTCTGTTAATCCTAATCCTTTGTTCTTCGTTGTTTTCATTGCTGATAATCCAAGGTTCCTGTCCTAACAAAGTAATCTGCAATGTCCGAAGGACCTCTTAAATAATGAGGTTCGACTGATGGTAATGCCAGTTCATGTATTTTGACAAATGAATCTGAAGGTTTTTAAGAGGTTTGGCAACAGTACATCAGGCAAGTTGCGGGAAAAGTCGAAGTACGCCACGTTAGGGGACTCCACTATAGTTTGTTGTGCTTGGTGCAGTCGGTAGTGTCTCTTGATCAGTATTACTCAGTACTCAAGGCCCTCGAACCACTAAAAGATGGAATGCATTTGCCATTGACATGTAATTGTTTGCTACAATTTAAACAGGTATTTTCTTTATTCAGCGGTTTGGTTGGTTGGTTTTCAAGTAACTTGCTTTTTTTGTTACCAGTTTCCCCCGTAGACAAAGACCGTTGCGATAATGACCAAAAGGCATGATTCAGCATTCGTGAAAGCCATGGACCGTTCTTCCAATCTCCAACAAGTTCAAAATGGGTCCTGTGTGCCGTCATTGAGTTTAGATTTGAAGCAGTAGTCAGGGCAACCTCTTTACTGTACATGTCTTTTTAAAGAAAGTTTACAACCACGTGTAAATAGCTTCAAATTGTTTGGACCAAAGGATAGATTATGTATATATTTTTGTATCTTATTTGCGCAAGTAATGTTTGTATTCACTTGAAGATTACAATGAATGCAGCAATTGGGAAGAGATTCAAACACTTCAGTAGTTTACTGTTCTGTAAAATTGGCCTTTAAATCAAGTTATGTTTCCTCGGTATGTAATTAACATAGTAAAGGGATGCCGGACTTTGTAATTTAAATAATTGTATAGTGTAAGAGGACTGCAGATTTTCGAAAGCAGAAATTGTAAATATCATAGTTTCCAAATTGTTGGGGAATTGTAAATTACTTTTTCAGAGATGTGTAAAAAGAGGATAGAACATCAATATTCAACCTCCTCTTTACAGACTGTAAATCTTGTGAACATCGTAATGGTGCATAAATTAGATTTTTAGTTTGAGCGTTTGGTTACACATTTTGAGACTACTCGGAATGTTTAATTAGTGCTTTGATATGGTTTATGTACATGGCTATTAGTTTGAGTTTCTAAAGTTTTGTTTTTGAAATAAATGCCTGACTTACAGCCGAGAGTTCGTTTTTGCTTGTTTGTTGTTGTTCCAGTTGCACTGTTTGCGTGATATTCGTTGCAACATTTATTCACAGTGGTTTATTTTGGAAAGTTAGAATGTAAAACCTTTGTTTCTGTTTCACGGGATTGTATTAAAGTTCTGAAGTAATAGGCTCAGTTCCCACACATTTCCTTACATAATTTGTTGGGTCAACACTTTGTTTTCGTTCATTCCCGAAGAGAGATCACGAAATTACTGATTTAGTTTGTGGCGGGAGAATGCGTGTCGAAAATGAGAGAATTTGATTATCTTCCGGTTTTGAACACACGGTGTATTGAACCAGTCTTAGGATGGCGGCATTATTCACTTAACAATAGGAAATAACGTGTCAAACATTAACGTGCTCGTGTACACCCTGTGAAAAGAGGATTTAATGACTGTTCCCAGAGGGAAGATGGTATTAACAAGATAAGTGTAAAGTAAAATCATGCAACGTTCTCATAGCTCATCTACTCGATTTTGAATTTACTGTGTTAATATCTTGTCCCCTTAGTACCATACGTGGATTCCTGTGGCAAGTACGATACCAAAATGTGCGGAAGGAACTTATGCCGGTTCGATGTGAAATATTTTCTTCGGCATTCTAAATATTAAATGCTGGGTCCCACGAAAAAAACCAAGATACTTTCCTTTTGTGATGTGTTTATTTTCGGTTGTGTTTTAGTAAAACAATAGCTTGGAATGTACATTAGATTCAACATCCCTTTATGAAACTAATTCTTTGTATGCTGAACGCCGCCACGGTTTTATTTTACAATATATTTATTTTTGGGACCTCTGATTTATGACTTTTTTCTTTTATTTCATGAGGTCTCTATATAATCCACGTATTGTGTGTGCGTTTCGTTGCTGTTCAAATCTTTGCCAGTCTGTGCTAGTGTTACCGTGTACATGTACTTCCCCGTGATGTCGCGATAGAGATTGTACTTTGTTCCCAGAGTTAAACACAACGCCGATCCTTCATGATTTGTAGACATTGGGTTAATATTAACCATCTTGGCGGCAAGAAAAATGGCCGTTTGGGATGCTTTCTGCTGCTGGTAATTTGAAAATCAACTCCAATTGACGATGTTCTAGTGCAAACAAGTATGCATAGTTCCATCCCGTAATTTCGTCATGCTTGCAACAAACGTCTAAATACCGAATTTTATATTCTTCGTTGCAATAAGGACTGTTATTTGCCAGGATTTGCACCGTGAGGTCTACATCATATTTTTGCAGACTTTAACCTCCCTCTCGTCAGCCATTTTGTTTCTCCTGGTCAGAGATGGATCACGAATCTGACGTAACGAAAAATGAGGTGACTGTTGATTACTACAGTCGATGTAAGTATAACAGCACATGGAAAACTACAATTTTTCAATATGAAGTTAACAGAAAGAGGTTTTTCAACAGAAATGCCAGCCAGTATGTTACTGCTGGAAGAACAAGTCTGCGCGTGCTCTTCACAAATGGCATTTTTTGCCTTCCTACATGGACTGCATCGCAAAATTATGCTCCTGAAACTGGCAAGTGTACTTTCTTGCATAATGTTCAGTATAAAAGAAACTCTGGTAATAAAGCTAAACATTTGTATGTTAATTTGTAGTTCATATTGAGCAGTAATAAATTTGGAGTTTTGCTTCAATATTACTTTTATGGCTTAAGGCTTTTTTGTTACTGCAGGTTTGCATTAACATTACGTGTGTTTCCTTGGGTAATTCATGCGACAAATTTAAACAGTAAAGTCACCAACATATCTGAAATTCCGAATTTGTTTTATAAAACTAATATCGAAGTTTCTTCTTGCAATGACGCCACATTTTTCTCATGAATGTGTACAGGAGTATTAAAACGAGGACATAAAGGTACCGTTAAGAGGACTGTACCCCCCCCCCCAATGCATACCATTATACTAAATTGTGTTATTCAGCGGGTAGGAGTTGATAAGTACGATCTAGATGATCGTTCCATTGTTTGACAGTGCCTGGACCTTGTGGGGATTGTTGCCTCAAGTTCCCTTGTCCATCTGTCATCGCCTGTGCCATGATGATTGTGGGGGATATCCTCTTACTGGCTGGATTTCACCTGGGTGCGGAGGAAGCCAAGTATCTGTTTGCTGGGACACCGATCACAGAGGCCTTTAACGTCTGGTTAGTTCATCCCCGAATACTCGTTAGAAACTCTTGCTGGAATAATAGACCTTTTTCGCAATCGATAGATCCCGTAAACGCTAATAAACTGTTACCAGGACGGCCTTTCCTCGACATTCGTTTTGATTAAGACCCAGTTGAGCCTAGTTTGGTTTCACAGCATATTCGTACTTTTAATACAATTTTTTAAAAGCAAAATAATGGTTAAAAAAGGAATGACCAGCTTCTCCGTTGATAATGCAATAATAGACAAGTTACGCTCGCATTGCATACACGAGAAACTTCAAGTGCTCCCTATGAGTACTTCATTATGTTTTCTTATTGATTTCGAGTTTTGTTTAATGGGTTACAGTGTGCCAGACAACGTCACGCAACTAATTATTAATAACTTCGGCAAATAGGTTGAGGGACAAATCTTATGATGGAAGTAAATCAAGTAAACCATACCAGTTTTAGTCCAACGAATCCACAAAGTTCTGCCTTACCCTTTCCTGACTCAAGTTCTCTCGTTTTAATTCTCTTCAGGTTTACCGACGTCCAGATTATCATCTACTGTGTCTCAGTGTTCATGTTTATCATTGCAATCGTCTTACTCGCTATCAGTTGCCTGGGAACTGGGTCCACACGCTCTGTGTATCTCTGCCGATTCAAGACAAGACGAAGCGGCAGATGCCAGACTGCTGTGGTAATGACTTATAATGCCACTCTGGGTTTGGATTTCAATCTTCAAACTGGTACTTAGTATCACACGTTTGAAAAGGTTATTCTTTCCAAGCGAATGCGCATGCGAGCATTGAACTCTTGCACTTACAACGCGAGGGCGCTATTTCTCCCACCTGGAGAACATTCCTCAAAGTTCATTTAATAACGATAGTTAAATTTTCCCCTCATAACCGTTGAATTTGAATGCTGACTCTACTTTCTTTGATTTTAGTTCATCCTGATAGCCTACTTCCTGGTCTTTTGTTGGGTGACTGCCATCTGTTTCGCTGTTGTGCCTGTCTTCTTCATGTTTGTCATGAATCGTGGGGTATGTCTTGGAGTCGAAATGGAACAACAAACCTGCTTGAACCTTGTACAGTGGGGTAAGTATGCTCTCACGCATCATTTGCCGATCAAACCTATTAAAAGGAATTACATTAACTATTCTAATCAAATAAATTCAAATATCAATTTGCATTTATTCAGTATAGCCTATATTCCAGCATGGAACTCTTTTCTCGGTTTGCATTTACATTAATTAAATAAAAATACAAAAAAGAAATATTCCGCAAATAATATACAAAGGTTAATTAAAGCATGTAATGATAAATTGAAGAGAATTAAAACTAAACAGTCAGATAAAAAAGGCGAAACCTTGACGAGGAAGGAAAGCTGGTACCACCAGCGAGAGATAAAAGGGGAAAAGGGACACACGAGCACAGAGTAAGGGAAACAAAACGGGTTAATAGAAAAGGAGGAAATCAAAAAGAAAACACATAGAAAACGGCACAGAAATGAGAATTATCTCAGGGTATCCCCTGTCCCTTTTTTTTTCAAACTGGCATTGTAACGTCTACTTCACAGGGCTGAATGTGGAAGTGTCTTCAACTGAATACCGGGAATAACGTAACCGAAATGTTTATTTTTATAGCACTGCTTTCTCCCGATACGCCGGTGGGGCTGGGGAAGGAACTGGTTTGTGACGACAAAATGAGAAATATCTGCCAAAGTGTAAGTGGTGCTCTGAAAAACTTAAAGAACGATTTAAGTCCATTCTAAAACATCTTTCTGCTTTGATTGCAACTGAAATTCCACACGGTGAATTATGTGGTTTAATCTGTAATTTTTTATATTTTTTTTCGGGCAGAATATGATGCTGCTATTCTCTCTAGCGTTCCTCGGCTGTCTTTTAATCCTTCTGGCCTCGGTAAGTTATTCTCGACTTTGCATGAAATTGATATGTCTAGGCCTATTTCCAATCTCTCTTCCCGCTTTCAAATACGCCGAAACGGAATTCCAGAGGCCGATTTGTATTTTTCGTGAGCTGGTCACAAGGCCTTACCTTTTTGTCTAATGATAGATTTTTTCTCGGCCCTTGAAATGACAGGTACAGTTTGTCGTGAGTATGTCTGCCAACTTCGCTCAGTTACTTGACCGCTACAAGCGCGCCTACATGTCAGATACAGCGGGATCATATAACATGCGTTCGGGAGTCCGTAACATCATGCGAGGAAGCAAGCGAAATGACACCGGACACACGCGTGCAGGTGCCCGTACTAATGTCGCTCTGACCCGCTACGGCGCTGGCAACGGAGCCTACACGGGCAACGGCAAGTCTGAGGAGTCGGAGGCAGACCAGAGATACAGCTCCTTAGAGATGACCTCCTTCCGTAGACAAGAGGAACCACCACCGCCTAATCCACCTCCATACATCCCATCAACTCGGGAACCGCTGTCCAACTTACAGCACCGTGCGCGTTCGTACGATCCGTTGGATTACAATGACTATAACACCGGTCAGCTAAATACATCAAGGGTCAAAAACATGAGTAGATCCGCCGAACCAATTGACTTTGGAGGTCAGTATGATCGATATGATAGGTACAATGAATATGACGTGTGAATAGAACATGGTGTCACTGGTTTCAATGAATGTTTTCCCAAACATCAACTCACATTTTGATGGCTCTTTGCTACTTCGAATTTAGCGCTGTTGGGTTGTTTGTTTGTTTGTTTGTTTGTTTGTTTTGTTTGTTTGCTTGTTTGTTTTAAGCGGAGAGAGAGATAAAAAAAAGAATAATGGAAACTTCAGCAATTGTTAGACATAATGCTTTTTACTCAGATCCAGAGTCGTTCTACTTTGAAAATGTAGCTCATTCAGACTGAGCACCTGATGTCTTATAAACGTAAAGATAACTGAGCAGTTTAGCTTTTTATTTTTGAAAACTCGCGAATACTTTCTCTTTTTTTGTGTTTGCTATTTTAAGCATTACGACAATATTTGACATTAAACATACATTGAAATAATCTTCAGCTGTTCTGCACACTGTACATATCAAATTCGAGTCGAAAGTTTAATTACATAGAATTTGTTGTGTTTTAATGTGTACTTTTCTTGAACTGGAATGACATTTTTTCCTTTGGTACAGCTTGTGTTGTGTATGAATGAACAAGCAATTGTTTCTTGGAATTCAGTGGAACAACTTAGATAGATTAGCCTAAAAGAAGACTATCAAACTAGAATAGACGACGTGTGCTGAAAACTCATTCATGTCAACGAACCTGATAATGTTTAGGTTCCAATAAGAACCCAATAAGTTCGAATAAGTTCACCAAATTGTAAGTTCACCAACATCATTGTATACCATCACTTTTTGTCATTTTTTTCCAGTAAAATCCAAAGTTATACCTATTTTGTGTCATGATGACTATTTTGTCATAAGACAAATGTAAAGAAAGACGTGCCAAGCCAAAAGAAGTTTAATTTCATTACGAAATCATATCTGTACATATCTTGAATGAATAAAGCAATGAACGTTTGATAAAGATGATTACATGTACTGTAATTGTGAAGACTTCTCGCGTGTCTTAACTCGTCATTCGAAACTTCAATGTGCAAATCAAATCATGCGCTTTAACAGCGGTTTTCTCACAGAGTTCTACTTCTGACTGCATGAAGCAGGCTTGGAAATGGAAGAAAAACAATGATCATAACGCGTAGGAAATGCAGACTCCTTTTGGGACTGAGCCAAGGGGCTCGATCAGCGCTAACTTGCGGGTCGAGGTAATGGCTTATGAACGTCGATAAATTGTCAGTTGCAGTCTAATAAGCATATGTATTATTGTTGAGAGCAAAAAAAGCGGTCGGAAATTTGTGAGCACGTGAAAGACTAACTGCTGTTTTACAGCTAGGTGCGAGGCCTGTCGGTTGGCAATCCCGCACTTTGCGCGGAAATCCACACATGCAATGGCAGTCAGGGCATTCGGATGGGCGCCACCAGTTGTTGAAAACCAGAAAGCTAAGATGGCGCAATGCAGGTGGGTGATTTAAAAATTTCCTGAAATATCATCTCTTCATTTTGTATTGAAATTGAGAAATTGAGGTATTTTAAATCTTATTCTTGTACGTACATGTACTGATTTACTTCAAACTTAACTCACTGGATGAAGAAACGCGAGATACGTCTGTTTCATTAGCCTAAATATGGATATTTTTTTTCGTTGTCGAGGCACGTGTTGACAAGAGCTATATTATAGTATATATACAATCACACGTTTGAAGCCAAACCACAGTTCACAACCATGCACAATGCATGACATCTAGATGCTCAACCAACCATAAAAACTTCATGAGTGAAATTAGGCTCCTATAACATTCAGGCTTTATTTTCCTTAAAAAAACCTCCCTACCCACAATTTTGTCCTAGGATTCGAACCCACACCCCATGCATATGCTGTAACCGCTTGACTACCGCAATTTACACAGGTTGACGGCGTTTTTACAGTTTAGGTACCAATAAACAGCTGCAACGCGAGTCTAATACACATTGGGCATGCGCAGTACAAACACAACCACCGTGGTTTGGCTTTATACGTGTGGATGCATATACACGTATATCTCGTTGACAATAGTCGAGGCTTTCATACATGTCACAGCCTTTTCCTAGAATACATGTACATCATTGTTCATGACGTAATTCCCAGTGGCCAACTTTTAGAGCTAGCCTAGTCATACTAGTAGGCCTAGTATATTGTACTATTGTTTTCCTAGTTCAGGATTGTTTCCAAATGCCAGATTGCTTAAAATGAATACCTAGGCATGCAATGCCTAGGCTACTTCAAGAACTCGAAACTCTGTGATACTCTGTGTGACTTTGAGGAAACAAGGTTTACATGGTGTCGTAATGCTATGGGGTTTTGGAATTAAATTTTTGTGGTAAAACGGTTTACATCCCTAAGAAAGCTATTAAAATTTAAACCAAATTTTCCCCTGTTAGCATATCTGATTGATCTGTACCTGCTAAAAGGGGATAACAATAGTTTCAGAGCATGAGACGGAGTATTTTTGGGAAAAAATGAGATTTTTGTTCACCGATTTCTCACTTCCAACCGTTGACTGTCACTCCGTTCATGCCGTTCGTTTTTATCAGACCCGCATGCATTTAGCCCACCAATGACTGCACTTGTTCCGCATCTTGGCTTGACCATTTTCGATTGTGGGGGATAACATCACACACGGCACAGCAATTGTCGCGCGTCTCACCCGATGTGTGTTTCCAGTTCACAACTGCAGCCTGGAGGGTCCCATGATAAAAACAACACAAAGTGTCATCCCTCGCCACCGAAAATGGTCAAGCCAAGCTGCGGAGCAAGCACGGTCATTGGTGCATGAACGAAGTGACAGTCAACGGGTGGAAGTGAAAAATTGGTGAGCAAAAATCTCATTTTTTCCAAAATACTCCATCTCATGCTCTGAAACTATTGCTATCCCTTTCTTAGCAGGTATAGATCAAGCAGATTTGCTGACAGGGGAAAGTTTGGTTTAATAGCATTTTTAGGGCTGCAAACCATTTTACCACAGAAATTTGATTCCTAAACCCCCATGTTCTGTTTTCTCGAAGTGACACGGAGTATCATGGAGTTAGTGACTTCGAGTTCTCGAAGTAGGCCTATGCCTACTACATTCTGAGACAAATTCTGCTTGAAAGGTAAAATCGAAATAAGCTTTTTGTTGTACATATTCATCCCTATATTTTGTTCTCAGAAAAGAAATTTCAGCTAGACTTCCGATTTGCACTTCAAGGGAGCCAAGAAATCAACAGAAATTTACAGGTCACAGTTGACAGGTATACTCACTACTTATGATTCCACACAACACATACTCAATTTTCTTTTAAATTCCTGCATATAATGTCTGTTTAATCGAAATGACTCTTAACGTCCCTGACCATATACTAGTCGCTGGGTCCATAATTTGACCAATTATTGTCAAGTTAGATTGATTTACATTATACGTGGAAATTAAGGGACCTGGCAACTGCACGGTCACATACGTTAGTTTTTAGAATCTGTGTTTTTTTAAATTGGCCAAAAATGAAAACATCTTTTCCCAGTTTCAGGTCAAGCGTGCAAGTACAATCAAATATGTGACAAACTCAACTACACTTGTAAAAAATTTGTATGTGATGTAATGTTGATTGGCTGAAAAAGTAGAGTCAAAATTTACACGAGCTCGATCAGTTGATGTACATGTACTTAATTCACTGGAATTCTGATACATGAACTAGTTTTCTCTAAATTAAGAAATTCTTCATTAGAAAATCAGCTTGTTATAAATGTTCTGGGTGAAAAAAAGGATTTCTTACGTGGTTACACTTTAATTAATGTGTGAAGATGTTTTGTCAAGAACTGGTTAAACCGATCCTGAACCAGAAAAAGTGTCAGCGTCACTTTCCTCGATCCTGTGAGTTTAAATTAAAAGCTTAAATTTTGAAAATAATTCAGTAGTATCTCTAATACACAAGGTGGACTACTGACCTACTTTACTGGCATTTGATGTTTTTAATTATTTGCATGATCTGACACTAGGCAAACAGCTGTACTAGGCTGCAGTGCAGTGAGTGTGACAAGTGCTGTGTTGTCAAGCGCTATCTTTGAAAGGGCGTAATTTTAAAAATTGCATGTGAAACTTTCAGATTTTGCACAACCACCATATTGACATAATTGTCACTAAAATTATGCACAGCGATAAAAATTATGTGGAGGGTAAATCACAGGCAACAGTTGTAGGCCTACTTAAGAGACTGACATCAGGTTAATGTTTTGCATTAATTTAATTTAAGCATCAAGTCCTTTGTCGGCGTCATTCCACTCGTGATTTGTGCTGAATGCATTAAGCATTGCTGATATCTACTACCTACGGGAACGGGTACACACCAACCATGACACATCGCACAAAATTTCACCTGTAGGTTTTGAACATTTTGATAATATGGCCTCGGGAGAGCTATTAAATTCCCCAGTTGGCATTTAAATCGGGCTTCACTTTCCTCTTAAAAAGTCTGCAAAACAAATAATAAGGGAAAATAAGGATTTGTATACAATCCAAGAAACTGCTTTACTGGAATTGTAGCCTTTACTCAAGGTAACAGTTTGCCAGCTTGACTGGTGCCCCAGCCTCGTCCTATACTAACCCTCATGACTCCTTACAAAAACTGCACAGTTCAAGGCACAAAATTGTGCACTTTCAAATTGCACTCAGTGCTGTCTGTGCAGATAGAATATGCATAAGCGAAGAAACACTGCACAAGTTGTGTGAATTGTAAACTCGAGCACTTTCACAGATTGTGCTGAACAACAGCACATAATACATGTACATGGAACTAGTTCCATATCTGGCTATCACTTCTCTTCCTAATCAGGGGCAAATCCAGGATTTTCCCAAAGGGGGGTGTGATCCCGGATTTTCAAATGGGGGATGTAAACTAAAGCAGTAAAAAATGCCTGTACGGCGTAGGGTCTGAATCCATTTATATTCTAGGGCCTCTGTGATGCAATCTCAGGCAGTATGACCCCACTTTTCTTCTCCCTTCCTCTTTTTAAATTTTTTAAAAGTCATTTAGGTATTTTGTTGAAAAGGGGGGGAGTTGCGTGCACCCCCCATGCTAATTTGACTTGAAAACTGTGCCAACATGACCAAAAATGGTAAATCTGAAGAAGAAACACTAACCAATGTTCAAGAAACAAATTACGACAGGAGTGTAAAAGCCGAAGTCAAGATTTCTTTGAAAATAAGCAAGGCCTACTTGGACTTTTCTGTCATGGTCCACAGACGTTGTGCATGAGGTCCAAGCTGGGGTCATGAATGGCCTATTAACGTTTGTTCAAACTTGATGTACATTTACCTAAAATTTTTTTTAGTTTTGCTCGCCTCATTTTTAGTTTACGTGTATTTGTGAAAAAAAATTGCCAGCTGGCCAAGGGTCATACTCTGAATAATCTTGGATTATAACTTGGGGTACCCCGACTAGGTCCAGAGTTTGGTCAGCAATTCAAATTTTGCCAAATTAATTTGAACTGTCAAAAGCCATGCACATCCAGTACACACAGAAGTTACCATTACATACAACAATTTTGCCTGATTTTTTTGCATGGGAGTCATAAACTTTCCATCTCACCACTTTTTGTTAAACATCACTTGGATCATCATGACATCTTGAATACCCAAGATGGAACTTCACCACCTTCAGTATTAAAGGTCTATCCTGCATATTGACCTCCTGCTCCACTGGAATTCACTTAACAGATTTGTAAAAGCTTTAGTTTCACATGGATTTTGGACCAGAACAAATTGGTTAGGACCATAAATTCTGGGCTGGTTTCACTTCAGTTGCAAGAAGTCAATAGTACAGAAGTGATAAATGTACAAAAAAGTCAGGAAAATACTAAATTTCTCTAAAATCTACAACTTTGAACTGACAGCTCTTATGGTGACCTTTTAAAATGACCTCTCCTGTTTTTATTTGTTTTTTGAGGGTTGACTTAGATTTAGGCTACAAAAGGTGTGATTACAATTATTTTATTCCAACCAACGTAGACTTCGGCTAATTTGTAACTTTGAATTGTTCATGGATATGTTTGGCCATGAAAATGTAATGAAAATTTATAAGCTTGTCTTAATTAATTATCAGTGATTGTTTTGGTTGGACAGGTTAACCTTTGACCCTCGAGGTGTGAGCGTGTAATGCCAGCAGCCTAATTCGATGAACCCCTTGCTGATCTAATGGAAAACTTTGTATATTATGGTAAGCGTAATTATCATTATTATTATTAATATTTCTCCTATTTATCCAGGGTAGCTTATTCACCCAAGCGGTGGTCTTCAATAAGGCCCTGTCATACCACTTATAAACAAAATCAACTGTAAAAGCTACATTAAAATGAATGAACTTAAAAAATAAAAGATAACCGCGGAATAAAAAGAGTGAACGGGGAAGTAAAATTAGTAACAAAATACATAAAACACACAAACACATGTAAAAAACAAAACACAGTAGCAAACAGTAATACTGAAAAAATATGAAATAGTACAGAACTAATATTAGCATTTCATTTTTTTAAACTGGACTTTTTCCCCAAACTGACAATTCGTTGTTCTGTTTTCCAAAAACTTACGTTGTCAAAAACCCCTATGTAGATTTCTGCGGCGCGCCAAGGTGGGACCACTTAAGAGCAGCACCCTCATGAAGGGCAGTAATGGCAACATACTCTCCTCTGAGTCAGATTGCACTAATTGCTGGAAGGAACACTTCAGCCTTCACCACCCATCGGTTCTGCCTGACCCCGAGCTTTATTATTCTGCAGAAACTTCAAGCAATATGAACCTAGGTTGCCCAATGACTCAGGTCATGCTTGTGGAAGTCAAAGCTGCAGTGGCCTATTTGAGAAACAAACCTCCAGGTATCTTCAACCTCACTGTGGAACTGTTAAAAACCAATGACGACTGCTTGATTGAGTGGCTCACTCTGATCATCAACCGCATCTGGCGTCCACAAGCAACTTCCTGACGACCGGCCGTGAGGAGTCATTCTTCTTTTCTAGAAGCCCAAAGGTGTTCAGCCGATTTATAATAATCACAGGGATAGCACACTGCTCTCTATCCGTGGAAAACTATTTACACAGATTCGTCTTTCCTGTGCCATTCTAGCGATCAGAAGTAAGTGACACCCTCAGCAGGCTGGCTTCATGTTTTACCACATCTCAGCTCTACATCTGATCATTGAGGAGTTATCTGTATATCACCTTCATTGATTTTAAGGCCATGTTCGACACCGTTGATTAGTCTTTCCTCGCAAAAATGCCCATGACTCCAGACCATCACTACCTGACTCAGTGGATTTGACTCCAGAGCTCTGCAAATGGTTGTGGTACCACAAATGAAGATCTCAGGCAGCAAAGCCAGCAGCAACTGGTATCTTTCCTTTCTGCTCAGCACCGAGTTGGCTGGTTCAGATACCTCCAATGGCTCCATGTACCAGGTGGATTGACATCATCCAAGAAGACCTCAGGGAGCTGAACATAGTATTTGAATAGGGTGAGGTCCTCGCGCAAGACTGCCTTTGATGGAGATGGATGGTTGCCCGCATCCACTCTTCACGCATTTCTGTGCAAGGGACATGTTAATAATGTTGAAAACCTAAGGCTGAATAAATGCCAAACAATTAAACAGACATTGAATCGGATGACCTGAATTGAATGGACAGTTTGTGCCTTTATCTTTAATATGTCCATGGTCTAGTTTCTGATGACTACTCGTGGCGCCAGCCATTTTTCAGAACAGTACACACTTGCCCAGACTCAATTGCAGCTGATTACATGGCAATGTCTACATATGCTTTATTGCTTTTACCTACTTGGTGACCCCAGCAGTGCTTGGTGGCAAAGATGGACCCCTACCAGTGCATGGTGGCTGAGTGTACCCCCTTC